GTCTCCTGACATTAACATCATAGTTCGCCTATTTATACCTATAAAAGGAATCATTACAGATAGTGTTTTGCTACTGACAAGTAGTGCTACAGAATGTCTCATATTACCTAGTAGTATTGTCCATAGTGGTGTAGTCCGTGCTCCAGCTTTTCCAAATTAAATACTTCCTAATAACAAAAGCCATGACGATATCGTATATATGGGCTATTGTTTTAGTCGTTATGTGTCATAATTGTGTTTTGAAATTTACTGTGGAAGCCTTCGTGGTTAGAGAGTGCGGCTGTATGAATAAGAATTCATCTGTAGTTTCCAATGGATGTCAGTAAGTGACAATGCTCGAAGTGAAAGTTAACTCAGTAACGGAACAGCTTATACAATAGTAATTTTTAACTATAGTTAATTTCTACTCGGATATCAGTTGTAAATCATGCAACTCAAATAAAGATTTAGACAAAACAGAACATAGATCACGATCGATTGTATTATTGAAAAGGAAGTGAAATATTTAATGAAAGATTAGTTCACATACTATTTATTATTCGGTGAGGCTTCAAAATTTTTATTGTTATCTAGATCTAGAATTCCCAACAATCCCTAGTCAGTGACAATGCCAAACTAAAATATGTTTTTTTAATCGAAGTAAATTTACTAGAAAAATATCATGTTTCAGCAAGTTTTTAGCAGTTAAATGCTTATAAAATAAAATATAACTAGTACATTTTTAGTCCATTTCCTGATCTGGATTTCGATGCATAAACTAATTTAAACTTTCACAGGGTAGCATATAAATATTATAAAAGAGATATATGTAGTTACTTCTAACCTAATGTTTAAATCGTCTTTAATACCAAGTACTTACTTTACAGTTTTGGACTTTGGTTACTCACACATTACTTCAAACAAGTTGGTGACTTTCGATCGACATTGTAACATCAAAGTTGATTCATTTCATCTATTTGTCACGATCCTGTTATATCCTTGGTATATTCCGCCAGAAACTTTTAACGTATCGAAACTACAAAAACATTTCCATTAAATTTATGTATGTATTCATTAAAATTATGTTATATTTGTATTGACTTCAATACATAGATTTCATTTCAATAGTGACCAAGACGTTTCCATTAAAATAAGCAATAAACAAGCTGTAAGCAAAGTTACCAATGTGTTCACACAATGGTGTTAAAGAATATTATTGCTATCAACGAACTCGATATCTGACTGTTTAGCATTCTGTGTAGTTAGATAAGTGAAACCATCATTCACGTGAGAACTGTCCCATTCACAGACAGTCATGTCCGTCCATTACTATCCTCATGAAGCATATTTATTTTATTTCTCCTTGTCAGCACGGATTTAATTGGTGATGTTGTAGCTTTCCTACATCGGTACAGACAACAAAAGATTATCTACAATTGATTAAAAACGACATTGAAGTAGCCTTATGTGTTTATAACTGGACATAAGGTCGCACCTTTTTCTCTCGCTGGCGCTGATGTATTGATCTTCAGCTGTCCGCATATACAAATAAATATAACTGTACTTGTTCCAATGGACGCTTTGAAAATATCCGGGTTATATTTAACTGAGAGCGACGTCTAATTATTCCCGTCAGATACAACATTCCGCTTCCTATCCAGAATTCGAGATTCCGATGTAAACTCTTGATGGACCACTGTTTTATGTTCTCACCACCACTTCCTTATTATGTTTAGCACCTTAACATTTTTAATGTACTAATTAGGCACCCTAAATGTGCAATAGGTTTCACTAATTTATCATATTTGAGTCAAATGTTTTATTAGGGCGACATTAAGCAATGCTACTTATCAAATGTGGAAGCCATTTCAAATATGATTTAATATATTCAGTCTTGCTATTATTTTAAATTGAAAATGTTGATAGGAAGAGATTGAAAACGACTAACTTCATAAAATATCTTATCACTGAAATTAATCAATAATGCAATTCGGTTTTACTTATCTAATGTTTTCTTTGTAGTAAGTTCGGTTCACGTTGTATTTTGTAATGTGATACGCGGTTACTTACCGGTAGGTATATTTAGTCTAGTCATGTGCGGAAATACAGATCTGCGAATTCCTAAGCGCTTTGTAATATACGTGTATCTTAACAATGTCAATGTTATTTTTAGCATTATATATATTAAAAATAATTAAAAATAAAATTTAATTTGTCAATCAATAACAATACAAACTATTTACGTCACTTCACATTCTTCTTTTCCGGGTCTTCCTCCGATTTTACTTTGTTTATTATAGAAGCACTGTAAATAGTCCAGGCAACGGATAGGTATAGAGGGAAATGCTTAGAACACAATTTTTGACTTCGTTACTTTGTTTGGACTAGTTAGGAGCTAAACATATCAAAAGTCCCCGCCATTGAATAATTAAAATTATAAAACTGGACTTTAAAAAATATTGATACGGTAGGGCCCTGTGCCTCTGGGTTTTTTTCCGGTTCCCATTGGCTATTCAGGTACGAATACGGCATCAGTTTTAGATACAATTCACTATGACGTGCAAAAAGAGTCTTCTTCATCAGAACCTTGTAGGGAAACGGTCAGAGGACCTTCAGTCCCCCCCCCCCCCCCCCCCCGGCTTAAGGGCTACGGGCGGGGACTTTTGATATGTTTACCTCCTAACTAGTCCTAACAAAGTTACGAAGTCAAAAATTGTGTTCCAAGCATTTCCCTCTATACCTGTTTTGAGCATTCGTTGCCTTTTTTTTGCGTTAAATTTATTTTTGTTTGGATTGATTTTTTTGTGTCACTGTACCTATTTTATCAATCGACTCATCAATCAAAAAGTGCTTAAGATTTTAGGTATATTTGATCAAAATACTGTTTTCGTATAAAATAAATAAATATTTCCAACACTCACACCAATTAGCCTAGCCCCAAAGCACTGTAGGCTTATGATATGGGATAGTAGGGTATCGGATAGAATACATATACTGATACAATTATAAGTATATTTATATAGAAATATACATTAAACAAACATTCTTCGTATTCATAACGCAAACATCTGCCCCCACCGGGATTCGAACCCGGGACCTCTTAAGTAATCGACACCTTGAAACCCGGCGTACAAAACACTCGGCCACGGAGATCGCTGAGTCGGAATATAATTTCCTCTATGAAATTTTTCCATTGCACACAACTGACAGATGAAACTTGATAAAAACTTGTAAAAATAGTGAGGTGATCGTTTACAGTGGGTGAACTCGTGCTTGAAATCCAACGATATTAAAACCCCTAATCGTTGATTGAACCCATCAACGAGGTTTGATGATACATTTATATTTTTTGTTACATAATATTTTTTGTTTATATATAATATTGACTGTGCATACTAATGGAGTGATTATTTCATTATATTTCTTCTAGTATGTTCACATAGGGCTGTATTGATGCGTCATTCGTAAATAGTACAAACCCGATTAGATGTACCACCTATCTGTAATATTTAAAAGGCCTACTCTATCTTTCTACATCAGTTGTCAATTGACTATGTGGTGCGCTGTGTTTTATCTCGACAGTGATTTCAATGGTATCTTTATTTTCGTTGGTCTGTCATGTTCTCGCGTAATGATCAAGTGAGTTTTATTTTGTTGCTAAAGGTGTTTTCAGTGTTTTCAACGTTTTTTTTTTGTCACGTAAACAGGAAATATTGGCGCTTTTCCGTATTCTTTGAGGTGAAATCCTTAGATATAAAAACTACGCATGTTTTTAAGAAATGACGTTTAAATCTTTCCTGTCGACTCGTCGAATCAACAAATTTAACTACGTGTGTTGGGGGTTAAATTATATTGACATTAAAAATCATAAAAATGAAAATATTATAATACTTACACTTGTTTTTGTTATAAGTATATATACTTATTATGATTTGATTAATTACCAGTTTATAATTCTTCTCTTCTGGTGTTCAGTTGTGAAATTTTATTCAAAGATTATTTATAAATCTATCAAAAAGTTACGAATGATATTAAACTTTTAAATAAAATTTAGGGCATTAGGTCAGGGCAGATACCTTTAAAAATTGTAAAAAGTAAAAAAAACATCGTATATCGATTTAATTGCTCTCAAAAATGTATCGGCCCTGGCCTATAGTATGCGTATGTACGAATACGAAAATATCAATCTACTCTCCTTATTTTTAAATGACTAACAAATGCAACTTTTATAAGATATAAATGACGTTTTTGTACGTGTATTGTACTATACAAGATCAGTGAACATTTATTAAACACTGAAGAAGTTTAGGTAGCTACATATTTGAGACCTTGGGATGATACTTTATTAGGAAAGTGAATTACTTAATGTCTTCCTGTAAATATGATTCAGAAAATGGGTTATTTGCTACTTTTAAGATGATTTCACCATATTTTGAGACTATATAATCCAAGTCTTCTCTTTTTTTTTTGCCTCTATTCGATGTAGATAATGGAGTTAATCATATTTTTTGTGGTCTAATTTCCATAATATAACATTTGTTTTTTTACCCTGTAAGGGCGACTTTATAATGTAATGGTATCCAATAACAAAAGTTTGAAACGTATGTTAAGTACATACGTTTCAAACTGTTGTTTGAAAGTTTTATTTTAGTGTTTGATTGTTTACTATCATAACCACATACTATCGAACCACGTTATGTAATCTATAACATCATCAATCATCATCAACAGCCTATCTTAGTCCACTGCTGGACATAGGCCTCTCCAAATGCACGCCACTCAGATCGATCTTGGGCTACTCGCATCCAGCTCCTGCCAGCCACCTTGCGCAAATCGTCACTCCATCGCTCCTGAGGACGTCCTACACAATCTATAACATAATAAATATAATCTATGCAAAATAGAAGGTACATCTAAAAATTAAAAAAAATGTCATTTTTCAATGATGCCATTAATGGTGCGTATAAAAACATAAGAAATAAATATTCATGAATAAATTTGACCCTTTCTTTTGTCCATAGGGAGGTGGCGAGTGCATGGGGCTGCCGCGTGGGCCCGCCCGACCAGCCCGCGCCAGCAAAATGCGTGCAGAGTCTCTTCAACGACATAGAGCTGTACCCTACTAAGACCCAGGGTAAGAGATATTCTCTTTAAGAGGCATCAAATTAATCAAGCGTTGTAATTACCTGTAGTTTTATTAACTATTACACTTACTTTAACTTAACTTACATACAGTGCTTATTTTTGGATGAGAAAAAAAATAACTCGCATTTATAAATAGTATTAGGGTAGGATAGACATTTGGCTTACGTTCACACCCATAAACCATGGTGCGTTGATCATTTTATGTTTTAAATTTATTTATTTATCTTTTTTTTTAATTTTTGGGATTTGAATTTTCACTTCTGTCGGCCATTCCGGAGAGACACCGTCATTTTTTTCTCCTCCTCTTGACTTTTATTTTTATGGGATTCAAATGAAAACATATTAGTCTTACCTTTATAGGTCGACCACGTATGATTTTAAGATAATGAGTGAAATAAATAAATAAGTTTTATGACATTCTTTCATTCGTATAGTCCTTTAACACATAAAAAACAACAATCTATACACTGCTCATTAAGCACAATAATTAGGGTAGTCTGCAGGCTATTTATTTATAAAGACTAACTTGCGCCCGCTACTTCGTTCCCGTTAGTTTTTTGAGAATTCCACCGGATTCTGAACTTTTTCCGTTAAAAAGCTATGTATCAATATACACAGTCAGGTCATAATTATTGTCACACAGTAAAAACTTTTCTTTTAGAATGCTGGCCACAAAAAAGTTTATTGAATTCGAATTTCGAATTGTTCATGAAAATAAAAATGTATACTTTTTAAAATTTTACTCATTTTTCAATATGGAGTGGACGCTTAAAGAAGACCGTGTTGCAGTTATTGCGTTGCATCGTTGCGGTTACGCGCCAATTAAAAATTTTGACATACTGAAAAATTTGAATATAACCAAAAGATTCGTTTATTGTACCATCAAACGATACAATGAAGATTCTAGTGTAGATGACAGGTCAAGAAGTGGTCGCCCTCGGTCTGTTAGGATTCCAACAGTGATAAAAGCTGTGAAGGCGCGAATTCAAAGAAATCCCAAACGTAAGCAGAAACTGTTGGCCCTTCAGATGGGGTTAAGCAGAACCACGGTGAAAAGGGTGTTAAATGAAGACTTAGGGCTTCGGGCATATCGAAGAAAAACAGGACATCTTTTGAATGTTCGTCTAATGGACGTGAGACTGAAGAGATGCCGCGCTTTGTTGAAGCGGTACGCGGGAAAAAAATATCGGGAAATTCTTTTTTCGGATGAATAAATTTTTACCGTAGAAGAGAGCTACAACAAACAAAATGATAAGGTGTACGTACGCACACAGTAGTGAAGAAGCGAGCAACCATATTCCGCGTGTCCAACGAGGTCTTTTCCATCCTCGCTCATGGTATGGTTGGGAGTTTCTTATTGGGGCTTAACAGAGGTACAGTTCTTTCAAAATATCATTGCAGTCAGTTCAGTAGGTAAATATCTGAAAATTTTCTGACATAATATGATGTAGATGTACTGTTTTGTTATGTCAGACAAGAAATTCTTTTTTCGGATGAATATTTTTTTACCGTAGAAGAGAGCTACAACAAACAAAATGATAAGGTGTACGTTCGCAGACAGTAGTGAAGAAGCGAGCAACCGTATTCCGCGTGTCCAACGAGGTCTTTTCCATCCTCGCTCGTGGTGTGGTTGGGAGTTTCTTATTGGTGCTTAACAGAGGCACATTTTTGTGAGAAAGGTGTAAAAACTAATGCAGTTGTTTATGAAAATACAGTCCTGACGAACCTTGTGGAACCTGTTTCTCATACCATGTTCAATAACAGGCACTGGGTATTCCAACAAGATTCGGCGGCAGCTCATAGAGCGAAGAGCACACAAGACTAGCTGGCGGCGCGTAAAATCGACTTCATCCGGCACGAAGACTGGCCTTCCTCCAGTCCAGATTCGAATCCGTTGGATTACAAGATATGGCAACACTTGGAGGAAAAGGCGTGCTCAAAGTCTCATCCCAATTTGGAGTCACTCAAGACATCCTTGATTAAGGCAGCCGCCGATATTGACATGGACCTTGTTCGTGCTGCGATAGACGACTGGCCGCGCAGATTGAAGGCCTGTGTTCAAAATCACGGAGGTCATTTTGAATAAACTTTATTGTCATAAGAATCTATGTTTTGTTAATTTCATTTAGGTTTATAAATGGTTACATAATGAATAAACTTGTTTCAATTATTTTATATTAAACATGTGACAGAATTTATGACCTGACTAGGTACATATATTGACACATTGATACATAGCTTTTTAAAAATGATTATGCTAAACTTCACCCAAATACGTTCGGCGGTTTTAGCGTGAAAAAGTAACAAACATCCATACAAACTTCCTCATTTATAATATTAGTAGAATAGGATAAACCATAATTTTGTTGTTAGTGAAAGTTTAATAAAGTATATTTTAATAACGATTATCTTTTCAATTAAACGTGGTAAGTTAATAACATATAAAATATTGAATTAGGTATAGTAGCCGCTGTATTGACGGTTGCACACATTTTATCAAACCATGATGTAAGCTCCAGATAACGAACGTTATTGTGTGCCCGCAGACTGGCAATATTTACTCGTAAGTCGTTACCTGACTTGATTGAAACGAAGATTTTAAACGCATTTCTATATTTTGTTTGAATATTTTATAGAAAGTGTTTGAATTTCGAACGACAAAAAATATAAAGTGTATTCTTCTCTATTTGTGTAAGTTAGGTAGGTATCCTTCGTTAAAGTTTTAGAAATGTAAAATTTTTAATCGGAAAAAAAACAAGTGGGGCGGTTATAATAAGTTCTTTCAAAATATTATTGCAGTCAAGTAGGTAAATATCTGAAAATTTTCTGACATAATATGATGTAGATGTACTGTTTTGTTATGTCAGACAAGAAGACGGCGTCGACGTGATAAATATTTAATATTTAAACAAAGTCATTCACAACTGATGGGTTCATGCGGAACAGCCATGTCAAGTTTCATTTGTTTAAATCAACGGAAACACGGTGACGTCACTAGGCCTGACCTAATCAACTGTTAAAGACGATATGCCATACAGGCATTGGTTCCATATGTTGTATTTACTACTTAGTTACCGATTTCTTTTTTAAACCTTTCGAAATGCTAAAGTTTTTGCTAATGCGTTATATTTTTAAATATTTTTAATAAAAATTTTTACTCAATTCCAGGAATATGGATATATATATCTCTTTTTCTTACACACCTCTTAATAATAGACAAAAAAGTTATAATATTTTTTTGGGCAATGGGCAAAACGCACCCAGCTCCGCCAACAATGTAATTAGTATGAATCGATAGATCTATAAAAAACTAGCCTTTTTTATTATTACACCGAAAATAAATATCCTGGGAGTCAAAAAATATGACACCGTAAAAAATATCCTGGTAGTCAATAGATATGACACATGGGCATATTTAAGTAGCTGAATAAATTTATTTTATAGTACCTTCATTTTATATTATTAGTAATCGTAATTATATGCCATATCGTACTTTACAACCAGATATACGACAAAGCCTGCCGATCATCCTGCGCTTGCTCTTACCGAGGTATTTCAAAACGGTTTACGGATGATGAAGGACTTGCAGTTGCAAATAGTCGACTTGTCTTACTTCGTCGTGATTGTGCGCTCCCTGTTACTTAATTGATTTTTATCTAACACGCTTTGGATATTGGAATACGATTATCGGTTTTGTCAATTAGTATGGATGAACTGGAATTATGTGTTCTCCGAAGCGTGGACAATTTTGTGTTATCTGTGGTCGCATATCTTCTATGTAAAACGGACAATTTACTATAACGAACAGAATGTTTAAAAAAAACCCAACCCATGCGGGGATATTTGAATTTACTCTGGCGTGGCAGAATAACATAAGGGCACCTTTGCACCTTGTGAAGTACTCCCATAATTCCTGAGCACCCTATGTAGAGTCGAACTAACTAACTAAATTAATTCCCTTGTTTCATTAATGTTTGTTCGTTATAGTACTTGTACACATTTAACTTAAAATAGCTAAAGACCCCCGGGATGGAATTTGATGCGCTTTGGCACAGATGATCTTGACTATAATACCTTTCAAACAAATGTAGTTTAAGCCGTGGCGGACGTGGGTGCAGCGTCCATACATTTTTGCCCAATGTCCTTTAAACAGCTTTGTTTCTAATCCGATTTACGTGATTATTTTTTGTTCGATGCGCAAAAAGTTGCTATGTGGTCCCATAAAAATGTAACATGTAACCTAACTTGGCTTAGTAGCTTATATGTACACTAATTAGTTAAAAAATTCTGGTCCAATTGAGTAATTCTTCTTTTGTTTGATGCCCTTTAGATCCATAAAAAAATATTTAGTTTGCCCCGTAGATTTAAATTTATGAGCATTTTTGTTTATTGTTTACTTGGAAGATGTGATGTAAATTCACTAAAATGGATGAAATAAAATTTTTTAAACATAAAATGAAACATTATAGTAATATAAGTTATTTACGGGATTGTTGCCATGTACCTTGTTTTTAGCGAGTTTCCGATATTTCGGCACTGTTGCAAGCGCCATGATCACGGAAACTCCCTAAAAACAAGGTACATGGTAACTATCCCGTAAATAACTTATATTACTATAATGTTAGTGACCATGAAAGTTTAAAACAATATAAAAAATGAAACAGACTTAAAAATCGATATGGCACTGAAAAGTAAAAAATAATATCTGCTTCATAATTTGGAAGTCGGGTGGGGTTAAGAATGAATTGTGGAATAGATTTTCGTTTCTAATAGGTAATAATATGTCTTTTAATCTTGACCCTGTGCTACTTCCAAATCATGAACTAGATATTATTTTTTACTTTTTAGTTCCATTTTCGATTTTTAAAGTCGGTTTATTTTTTTGGTTTTCCTTTCCACCGTCGCGTCGCCGTCTATATGAAATGAAATGTCGTGATCTCCAAATAATTATAGACTAACGATTAACGAATATTTAATTTCGCCTGCTGT